GGGGGGAGATAAACGGTAAGTATGTGATAGCTCATATCGCATTAGGTATACGTATAAAGTTCCTAGTGGTCACAGACTGGCTGTTCCAGAGAGGCGCACATTGAAGTGGGAAAAGCACCTAAGCGTGCACCAAATAAATAAATAAATAAAAGTACTGGCAAGAATTACGGCAAAATCTCGCCCCAAATTCATCTCGTCTGAAAAGCACACCCCTCCAGAAGACTCATGTATCATTGTCAGGCTGCTTGAAGCCTATCAGAACGGTTTCAAGCTCTCGACAACAAGCGAAACGCTTGCAAAGCGGTAAAGCCGAGAAATGACGAAACTTAACAAGTAACTACTAAGAAGAAGGGTCAAATCCAATAGTTTGAGGTGAAACTGAGAGCGTAACAAATAGCTGCAGCAAGCAACGATGTGGACATGAAGGACATACGTTATGAGGACCAGAAGTCACTTCCTTGGCCGTTCATTTGCCCAAAGAATGGGGTGGGCAGATAGGTGGTTACACTGAGGACCCCCAACTCGTCACGCTCATGCACCCTTACTTAATGCTGTACAGCAGAGATTCCTATAGATTCTCTAGGTGTTGTCCTTTGTTTATAGAAGGACTCCATGAGATGTTTCTTGTGTTTCTATTTCAGACGGACAGCATGTGTTCCTGTAGATGTATTCAGAACCAGAACCAGAACCTGAGGTCAGACCAAAGGCGTTATATCTAGCGTTTTCATTACAGATGAGGTAGATGAGGGAAAAGTTTCGAACACTCCCACATAGACCATCGCTAGGATCATAAGATGACCAGTGTGCTAGTTGACATTTACTAGAAACAAACTTCTTCGGGGCAATAAAGAAAGGTAATCATCGAAGAAAGGCAAACCCGCCAATAGCGAAAGCGCGAAAGCCCAGTTATCTCCGCCCTCAGCCGGCAACAACCAAGGTTTCCTTCATTAGAGGAACTTGGAGCTGTACAAGGGTATTGAAATGGATCCGTCTTACCTGTAACTCTAATTAAATGAAAGTGGCTTATAGTAGATGCAGAGGCGTGAATAGCGTTCCTTTCGACGAAGTTCAAATTGTGTTCATACTCAAGCACGTATTCTTCATCTAATAGAGCTGAGATGTGCTCCTCTACAGGAACGATCAAAAGACCTTAAAATCGGAGAAATGGCTCTAGGGTGATGAAAAGTTATGCTTTTGAACAACCTTCAATTGTCCTCGCATATAGTCTGTTGGGAGCGTGGACTGGCGCTGATGGACTTGCGTGGTCCGGAAAAGAGTTTTCGAAGAGAACCAAAATTCATTAGGACAGGCTATGTTATCACTTTCTATACAGTGAATTCATGGGGTAGCACTTGCAATCACTTATCTTCCTTTCTTTGAATACAAATTCATGGCACAACCATGAGCTGAACAAAGGACCCATTGAGTTTGTGTGAGTTTGTGTTGTGCCTTGCTTGCCATTTTACAAAAAGTGTCTCGAGGGCTGTGAATCAGACTAACTAAGAGGATCTATGATATGCACTTTGGAGCTCTGAAAATAATCGTGGGAGTGTACAAAAAAAAGATACTTGTTACTCATTTAATTCTACCTGCATTCATAGAGTGGTAATGAAAAATTCAGTGGGATAAAGAAGTATTTTTTCCATCCATTTATTTAATACTCTTTACATCTCAATGTTCGAGTTCTAATGCTTTAATATTGACTTCAGTGCTAAATTGAAGGTTGCGCCATGAAATTGACTACCATACGAACGTGTTCAATCGTTTAGAACAAAAGGGTTGTTTTCGAGCTTTGAAGATGATTCCTCCAAGCAATTTTTAGGGTTTCATACATGGAGAGGTTTGATCGATTTCCAAGATGTCATGCTTGACTCAGTTCAGTACTTGAGTACCTACCATTGGCCAAATTTTGTGCTCCTATGAAAACACAAGGAATACCCAATTGAAATGAAAATCGGTTTTCATACAGGGGCCATAGTTGTACTAATCGAGCACACCATCTCAGAAGTTGTTGGTTTCCTACAACTCTTCTGGAGATGTTCTAGACAAGCTACCAGTGTAATTTACTTCTACCGGACTTTGTCAAAACCTATACACTTTATGTTGCTTTCAGGTTAACTAGTTGATTGGTAGTACTGGTATTGGCTGCGAGCTGCCCTCATGGCTCTACAATGGATAAGGTTTTTCCCTTGAGACGCTCTTCCGTGCCATAGTGCCAAACGAGTTTGTGAGATATTTGGGAGCGTAAGTCTGACTCGGATTCCATCAGTCCAAGATCCGTGAAAGGCAATAAACCGAACTGGGCTACTAGAAGTAATAAAAAAATTCGTGTACTATTTGAGCTGTCAGGTGATGTCATTCTACCATGCTGGGCTTCTCGAATTGGATCTCCCTTCATTTAGAACGTAGTCTTAGAGAGAGAGCGCAGACAGCGCAAAGTAGGCGGGGTCTGCGTTTTTCTGCAGCAGCGCATCAAGTTTCTGAACAGACTTGATAGATGCAATGTGAGATGCTCTTCTTTCGTGGAAAAATTCCATATATAGTGACTGTGCGATTTTTGGATCATTCTTAAGCAAATTACAATTTATACACACAAAGGCTCGCATAAATACAACTCAGCTGTATGCTTCCATCTCTCACGGGAAATATGCCATCAACCCATGTTCGATTCGCAATAGGTGTCTAACATAACAACACCTCTCTGTGCCGACGATGTAAAACCAATCGCATTCGCGTGCGGTCGCGATGCGTACAATGTATGAACCAATCAATAGCATCGAGTGTAGCGTTTGATCTGGCTCAGTTGCTACAATGGGTAGTGTTCCTACGAGCCAAGGAACTCTGATTGGA